TCATAAGCCCGACGACTTCATATATCCGAGTTTCATTGTACCGAAGATGTTTAAAGTTACAGATCCCTGGTAATACTGGTAAATGCTGGATTTCAAAATAGCTGACAAGGGTAAGTCTTGAGATTAACCCAGTTTAACTAGAAATGATTTCAGGATTTTCAGCTGAGAAAATTTGAAATTTAGCCAAAATTAATTAATTTTTATGTTTTTGACGCTAATTTGGAATATTCTATAGAGGTGACACTGTTAAGAATAACGCTGTCAAAAGGTTTACACATTTGTCTAAAAACAGTTTTTAATTCTTTCCACTTTGATTCCGGCTTGTCACTTAAGAGGCATTTTTGGCTAAGCGTTTCAGCAGCTCACTAGTTATTTGGTGTTTTGGGGATACCGATTTCATCAACCCCAAGATCTACACCTGGTCCTCTGCTACAATTACTAACTATTTTCACCAGTACTGTGATTCTTTGTTCAATTACAAATAACAGAAACAAATTCATCAATATTTCACTGATACGCATGAGTGCGTACTAAAATTGTGGAATCCCTTGAAGGAGTTAAAGTGTGTCACATCACAATGCGGTGGAATCAGGCTCTCGTCAATTTTTTTTCTTCATATATATATAGAGTCATTAGTATCATCTTAAAACTTATTCATAATTTGTCTTGCTTTTGGAAAAAAAACACCCATCTATCTTGAATAGAAGTAGAAGTTGATAAGTGTAGTGTGTGATTGAAGAAGGTGGGATCTCCAGGTGCCAGAGGAAAAATTAGCGAGAAAATTGGCTTCTAAGTTTGGTGATTTTCAAAGCTTGAGTAACGAGTGTCCTTGGAAACTGGAAATTTACATTTTTTGGTGCATTTGATCAATGTTTTCTGTAACATTTACACAGAAATGTTTTAAGATGGACATAAAAGGTGTAAGACCAAAAAAAGAAATTTGAAAAAATTGCCCCACAGCCAGAAAAATGTAAGTTCAAAATTTTGTTTTTTGTTTTTGACGAGCGACTGATTTCACCACCCTGCCTCACAAGTAGACTCTTACTTAAAAAAAAAAATTTGAACGTGTGGTTTAAACTGTGTATACTACAAAATAGAAGAAAGAATATGAACATTTTTGAATTGCAACATTTTAGACAATAAAAACCCAAATGAGTCACATAAAACATTGAGTAGCCTACCATAGGAAGTCTTCTTACATCTTTTCTATGAAAAAGGAAGACAAAAATGAGGTCGCTTGATGCAAAAACATTATCAACATCCATCAAATTAAATCAAATTAAAAAATTGTAAAAGTCTCAGAGCATTTTATGATAGAACTAAAAACAAAGCGCTCAGTCACTAATTCTTGGTCACACACTCCAGTCCTCTCTTCTCTTTCCCTTGAGACAAGAGAGTTTGATATTGACAAATTAAGAAAAGGACACTGAAAAAAAAGGAACCCAGCAGCCTGACCACAAAGAAAAGGAAAAGATAAACAGGACCTATCAGGTAGGGAAAAAGGTTGAATCTATGAAGGATGGCTGTACCAGAAATAACAGGAAAATGGCCATATTAAAAATAATTAACCCATCTTTTTCAGTTTTGTAAAAAGTTTTGGGTTCAGTCAGTATTTGATTTGGGAGAATTAAAATGAACAAAATGAATGCAACCATTTTACTTCATCACAGCAAAGATGCAACCACTGCACAAAATTGGTCAACAGAAGAGATTAGAGCTGTAATTTGGTTTCTTCATGCAAAAGAAAAAAAATCCCGCTAAACTTCAGGCTCAACTTGAAAGTATTGTTTGTGGTAAAAATGTTTTATGCAAGTCAAAAGTATACCTTAGGTGCAATTTATCTAGAGGGGCATACAAATGTACGTGATGAGCAAATTACATGCCATCATCTTTCTCCCATTACTACAGAAAAAAAGGTTAACGCATTGAAAAACTCATTTGTGATGACAGGAGGCCCAAAATTCGTGACATTGCCGTTTCCCTAGATTTTTCTAAATCAACACTTCACAAAAGTGTCAGAACTGTGGCATACAGTAACAGAAAAGTGTCAGCTTAGTGGGCTCTCAAACAGTTGACAGATGACCGCAAGGCACAGTGCATCAATTTAAAAAAAGTTTTAGTAAGAGTTTTACAGCACTTGCAACACAATGCAATAATGTCATATAAGAGTCGAAGATAAGTATTACGAGAGAGTAACAAGCATAAAAAAGAAGGAGGAGAGATCAGGAGGATGGATATTGATAGGAAAGAAGGAGGCAAACCATCACTGTTTGCATGCCATTGTAGGAATGATGTAGGAAAAATGCAGATATATGACAAAATGGGAAGTGTGGCTGCTAGAGACTTCCAAGAACAGAATGAAAAAGATTTTTGGATCACAATCCTGATCTTTCCCCTTCAGGTTTCCATCTGTTTGGACCACTACAGCGATATCAACCTGGGGACACAATGACTGACACAACCTTTGTGGAGCACTTCAGAGATTGGCTTCGGTCGCTTGACATAAAATTCTATTTAATTGCCCAGCAATGAGAAAAATTCTTGATTGTTCATGAGTGGACTACATTGATAAATAAAAGAAATGTTTAGCCAACTGCATAACTGTATCTAAATCAAGACAAAACTTTTCATCTAATAGCCATTTTCTTGTTATTTCTGGGACAGCCCTTGTACCACTAGTGAAACCAAGCACTTGACAATTTATGACTGAAGGAAGCTCATGCCTATAAACAAATACATTGTAGTTAGAGAAAAATTTGTTGAAAACTTTGATAATGGAAGCTGTCCCACATTTCAGTCACTGACACGAGTCATTATTTCAAAACAGAAACCAAAGAACCAGGAACTTTAAAAATTTAGCATCTCTATCACACTATGAATCATAGTATGATAAGTTATATTTATCCAGTTGTTATTTTATGGGTGGCTGCCTTTACGGATTCAGGAGTTATCTATCCTGGGTGACAGAATGCAACCATGCCATATATGTCTTATGTCTTCGTATCATTATTTCAGATTCAGTTGCTTTAAGGTGGTAAAGAAAAGTATTTAAAATCAAAGGTAATTTTCAACGAGACATTTTACGTTTGTACACAATATATTCACAGTATTTCATAAAGTACGAGAGTATCACTTAGCATCTTATAGACTAATTGAGGTCACTGCCATCTCTGCTGGTGGTGTGCCGTTTCTATAAGAACAATTCTGGACTACCAGAGTGGAGGTTTCCAGTTCAAAAGATTAAGGACTTTGTGACTTCTACCACAGTGGATTGCTTGTCCTTGTAATGTTTCAAGTGTCCATCCATTGAGACGTATACAACAGCACACCCCATACGTGTTTTATTAGTTAATGTTAGCCATTTATGCTTGAATGCTAAATAAAAGAGGTTAAGCCCATGCACTTCCCTCTGATGAGTCTTCCCTTATTCTATAAGGAGTATGATGTCCCTGCTCGCCTGGTCTTCAAACAAAGCCAAATACAACAGTCAACACAGGAGGCTTGAGAAATCCAAAAATAGACAGAAATGTTTGCCAACATGTATCCACCCCTATCCCTGCAACATTTCTCACATTAGAATAACATCTCTGGTGAATTTAAGACCATAAAATGTAAAACAGATACCCATACTTGATTTAACAAGCAAAAAGACTTTGCAATAAAACCTATTGATGGACTACAATAGGTCTATATTACATCCATTTTGTTTTAAAATGTCCAAGTTCTGTACTGTACTCTTATTGTGTAGACAAAAATGAGTTCACGCTATTTCACTTGCATAGAGAATTTAGGCACATTTTGCATTCGTTATCACCACTGATTAAAACTTAAGTTTAAAGCTCAATCTATTTCATGAAAGATTAGAGAACACACTTCACAAAGGGGCATATGTTATATGTCATGATGCGGTGGAATCAGGCGCTCGTCAATTTTTGGGCATGTGGAGTTATTAGTATCATGAGAAAGCTGATTTATTTGCCTTTCTTCCAGTGAAATAAATATCAATTTATCTCGAATAGAACTCATGATATATGCGATTGAAGGAAGAGAGGTCACCTGGTTTCATTAGTGAAATTAGCGCGAAAATGGCCGTCAAAGTTTGATGACTCCAATAGCTAAAGAGTCTTTGAAAACAAATGACATATTTTGTGCCTTTAATCAATGTTTTTAGTAAAATTCACATGGAAATATGCTTTTATATGAACATAAAAGAGGTAAAGCCAAAAAAAAAAATTAAAAAATTCGATCAAAATTTCCAAACTAGTGGAAAAATGCCTATTTCTCCGATTTCTTCATTTTGACGAGCACCTAATTTCACTACGCTGTCTCATATCATTACTTATATTAGATCCTCACAGGATTTTCAGAATCAAAACAATCATCTCCCTCAATCTCTCTCTTTCGACAATGATTTCACACTTTAAATACTCATGAGGAATAGAGCAGCTAAAACTTGCATTCTCAAGCAATCAAGAAAAAATCCATGGCTAAAGAAATAATGCTAAAGATCAAAGTAATTCAAACAATTATAATATTGCACAGTGAAGATGTATGGGAGTAATCCTTTAATATTTTCCATTCATGCACAGTATTTATCCAAAAAACCCTGCAAAGAGTGGGTCACATTTTGCTGTAAAAAAGCCCCACCTAAAAACTTGACTATTTTTTCAACAAGAACATTGAAAGAAAGTAAAGAACAAAAGAGCATAAGTAGGCTTGTAGCCATGTATATATATAATGTAAAAATTATAAAAACAATATGACTCATGACGAATGAAATGTCTATGGAGTAGCAACTCGCTGAAAAATGCTTTAACCCTATCCGTACGCCCTGGGGTCATTTTGTAAACCCCCCCCCGGGTTGTATTCTTCACATTTTAGAATACTTCTAGTACGAAGATCTCTTTGAAACTTTCAGTATTTCTCAAAAAATAATTTTGACAGACTGCCATGCAAAGCGTACGAATCGGATTCATGAGTAAATTTCCTCTTTGGAAAGTGGTGGCACAGAGTTCCCCTTGTCATATGGATACGATAGTAAAACATGACGTACGGATAGGGTTAAATAAAACAAAGTTCTGATTTTCCATGTTTACAGAAAACTTACTTTCCACAGAAAATTGTACACCAAAAAGAAATCTGTCACAACACAAGTGGTTTCTGACGGGAACAGTAAACCATGGGGAAACAAAATAAATAAAGTCGGTGGGAAAACTAGTCATCAAATTCGTCATTTTCACTCCCATTCTCATCATCTGATTCAGGAGACATTCCTCTTACTCCATGACAAATTTTGTTTATCAAAGTGTTATGTAGCTGGCTCCTTGCATCAGTGCCAAACACAGAGGATGAAGAAGAAGCAGTCATCAAATCATGTTCTCCGTGATCACTTGGCTCCACTTTTCTCAAAGTCACTCCAGACCGAATCATGTTGAAAATGTCATTCAGTGGATCTGAAAAGTTATTAGAATGTGCTCTTGTTATAGAATTCAGCATGAAACTGAAAGGTAAAATGTGAACTTCAGATCTATCAAGCATCAAGTACCCAAAGAATCCTCTGAAAGGTGAAAAAAACTTCCATTTTTTTTATTCATCAAATCCAACAATACATCTCATACCAGACTATGGGAAACCTCAAAACCGACAAAAATGCATCTCCGAGATCCTCATACACAACCTGTGGTATGAAACACTATGATTAAGAGGGTATGTTAGACCTAGCCATTGAGATAATAGCCAGATGTGCAGTTGTAGTTGTGGTCAATCGAGGTTGGTGGGGGGGGGGGGGGGGGGGGGGAGAGGGGAGGAGATAAATGAAAATATGACAAAAGCTTGTTGTAGAGAACAGCATGCTTTTACACTGTGTGGCTTTAATTGGTGATTTCTTCTGTGTCGGTTCAGTTCACTACAGTTGAATGAAGAAGTTGAAAGGAGGCATAACAATATAGTCAACAACTGTCACAAACTCCTATCAAACCATACAATGAGAACAGTGGCACAAACCTAGGGGAGCATTAATTAACTGTTCTATCCCAAAATTATTCATACAAAAACATTCTTAATAGGAATATCATAAACTTTGTGAGTAGTGGAAGCATGTATGTTCTGTGAAATTGAAATACAGCAATTGATTATTTCTCATCTTCTACTAAACTAACCTTGATTCTGCGGAGGAGATGGTCTATTTTGCCTTGCTGATGCTGGCTTAAGCTTTGATCGGGATGCTAGAATGCTGCTCAAGTCAATGTGCCCAGAATTTGCTGACTGTTTCTCTTCCTTGTCGACCTTTTTCAACTTTCCAAGACCTTGTGCAATATCCGAAATTTCACAAGTTGGTTTCTTCATCACACCGGCACCAAGGAGTGGAGGAGGGGGTGGTGGAGGAGGTGGTGGGGGAGGAGGAGGAGAAGGTCCACTTGAAGAAGAAGGAGGGAGAGGGGGAGGTGGTGGGGCAGGTGTCCCTGAGGATGGAAGGGGTGGAGGGGGTACTGGAATCTCTGACCCAGCAGTAACAGGCAGTGTGTCTCCCCCAGCAGATGTATCACTGGGTTTCCCAGCCACGTGTATGGACACTGGGATATCCTCGGGCTTCTGGCTTCCCTTCCTCTTGTTCTGCTTCCAAGGCTTTGGGCCAGCCTTTGATTTATCGGAGGACAGTGATGCTTTGGTGTCTGGAGCACTTCCAGCTTTAGAACCACTTCTAGGTCTGACGACAGAAGCAGATTTGGAACCCTGGGCATTGTTTTTCTTTTCACTAGGTTTTTGATAGCGTGGAGGCTTGATGGTCACCGGTGCAGCATATTTCTGAAAAAAATTACAAGATACAATCAATATAAAAGGATTCAAGACTTCCAGTAAAGAGAAAAACAAATGGGAGCCCGGGGGAGGAGTTTATACAATAAAGCCTTCTCCTGCATCACCCCCTCCCCCTCAAGCAAATGCATAATATATTCGATCACATAGACAAATGCGTATGCAGACATAGACTATCACAACTTCCAGTTTTCTATTCAACTGGCAACTTGAAAGAAAAAGGAGAACACTGAATTTTCTCCCCTAATCAGTATTATTTACAAACAATATAATTACACAGAAATTATACACGAGAATAAAAAAAACACCAGATAAAACTGACAGGCCTACAAATACAAACTCACCACTTTATACTCTTTCAATCTTTCAATTGTCTTCTTTCTTTCTTCAAATACAAAGCTGGATTTCTCTTCTTCCTCTTGTCGCTGTCGCTCTTTTTTCTGGATATAGAATAAAAGAAAGTAACACTTGAGGCGAACAATGAAGTAACGAAGAAAGCTGAGGCACGACAAAAAGTTGTACAATGGAAAAGAGTCAGTTATCAGTTGTGCTGGCTGTATGGATTCAAATGTTTGAAGTCAAATGGCTTATTGCAAATGGTTAGCTAATAATAAGTACACTACGTAAAAAGAATTTTCCTTGTTTTGATTTGTCTAAGAAACTTCAATTATACCATCTTCAGACACATGCAAGTATCTTATCCAATAGTTAGACTATTTTCAAACCAGAATTCCAGGCAAAACTGGGCCCAATGTTGTGACCTTGACAAAAGTTGTTTATAGAATTTGTATGTGCTTTACTCAGACTCAAATTGAGAACTAAAACTCAATTGGCATAAAACCTGTACCTTGCCTAGAAGTTAACTAGTTCCACTTTACAGAATACAATCTGCAACTGACTACAGCCCTTGACTCTTACTGATGCTCACAATTCTCAAAAAAAATTCTTATTATTTTTGCCTACTTCCATAGGAGTTGTGAAACAACTGTTCCAAACAATATGAATATATTGTAATTGTTTGCACAACAAAGTCAATCAGACATGACACATTTCTTCAGAAACTACTTCAGCCCCTCACCTGTTTGATCTGATGGAAGCTTTGCTGCCTTTTCTCTTCCTCCATCTCCTGAGCTTGGCAATCTCTGATGGCACTCAAAAGTTTCTCCTGTAGAAGTACATTCAATGTTGTAAACTTTGTTTTCTTATAGACTGATCTAACTATATAGAAAGCTACAATAGCTTAAATCACACAACACATTGCGCCACCAGAGAAAAAAGTAGGTTTGGACGCCATCTAAACAATTTCACTGAGGTCTTTCATTAATTTCTCCACTGCAAAATGTTGAAAAGGTAATTTCTACTAAAAATGTACAACCGAAGATGCTGTTTTCAGCTAACACACAGACTAGGATGTTTACTTTTGTGTCCTTAAAATGTTTTAAAAAATTTTCATCACCTAAAAATTATGTGACTACCATACAAAGGCCAATACTATATTTTCTAAATCCTTTAGGTTAGATTAAGGTGGCAATATATTAGTTTTCTTTTCCCTTGATGATCAATCTCTATTGTAGAACAAAAGGTCTAGTTTTTTTTCCAATAATTCAAAAAATAAATAATTCAAATTTAAAAAAGAAAACAAACAGTGTTATGATTATGGTCATTCCTTGTGTCATTATCACTGTAATTCAAAACAGTGAGGTATGAGAAAAATCATGCATTATATTTGCAGGATCATCACCAAAGTTATTTGCAACGAAACTATCATGCAAGAAGAAGTTACAAAAGTTAACACAAACAGCAGAAAGAGCAATACCTTCTTTATCTTTATTTTTGATTGATGCTGGGTAATCCTCACTCTTTCCTGCTTCAACTTGTTCAGTTCAGAGTCCATTTTCATTGAATTAACTTCCTCTTCTTCATCAGAGAGATTTTCAAGATCTTCCACTGCATCGTGAAAAACTATGTTTTCATCCTCAGACTCTGAAAAATCAAGTTAAAAATAATAGATAGCATTTGTACAGCGCAAATCCCCGCTCAACAGCAAGCTCTATGCCTTCACAATCTGTACTATTAAAACGGTCATATATAGGCACTAAAACACTAACAAGATCTTTCGCTGTCTATGGCCGGGTACCCATTCCCACCTCGGTGAAGTGACGAAAATTTACACAAAGTACCTTTCCCGAGGACACAACGTCAGGCCCGCGGCTCGAACCCCCGAACCCGCAACCTCATGATTATGGGTCTGGTAGCCTAACTACTAGGCCACTGACACCACACAAACAAATATTTTATAATAATACCCTCCATCATCAGGGATGGACTTGTAATATGTGTAACGTTTTCCTGACAATACATATTGTCGCTCTTGTGATAAGACCAGCTAACCTCAGGACCAAATTTTACAAGAAAAGCATAAAACTAATTTTATTTCATCACATGGCACAGAGCTGCCCACCCACCAGTATATGTTTTAGTAATCAACAAATAGAAAATTAGTAATCTGGCTTTTAAAAACTGTAAAATGGCCATGGCTTGTCTTCTTCCATGGGGTGGCAAGGACAGGGGTTGTAGTTGAGTATAAATGTAAAGTAAACAAAGGCACGTGAAAAAAGAGGTCTCGCTGGGCTCTTATCAAGTTAAGAAAAATATGCGTGGGTGGGGGAGAACCACAGAGTACATCACATCATGCCACGCACCCACACCATGAGCTAAATGTTATAAAAGATTCTCTCATAGGCCTAGATGGTCACCCACAGCACAAAAGGCCAGAAATTTTCTACCACTTTGTCAGCTTAATGTTTGCCTTATTCCTGGCTTTGGCACTTCTAAAGTCTGAAGTCTTTTCTAAGGGTAAAGTGGCACAAGTAAGGGCTCAATGCAAAGAAGATGTGAAAGTTAGACTAAGACAGCTGCACACGACATAGTGACGTATTCTGTCCGGTTTTGACAGTTTTCTCTCCTTATTCAAGAGGGTGATATACTTTTATACAGTCTAGCACACACACAATGAAACACACACATAGCAAACAGATTTTACAGTTCCAAAATTTTTCTTATACAAGTATTTTCTTTGATTTTAAAACATGTGCACAGCGAAATTTAAACATAATGAGAAAATTTGCAAGTCCCGCCAGTTTTGCAAGCTAGACTGTATAATTATGTATATATGAAGGCAAAAAATATTCCTTCATGGAGATAATTTCATACAGTATACTTAATACAGCTTATTTCTTACCAACATAACATAAGCATCCTGTTCTACCCCATAACTAAGGAAACAGGAACATTTCTCTTTAGACTTGTGAAAATTTCTCTTTTAGTACCATACTCACATTGGCTTTTATTACACTAGATTTCCCAGAGATTTTTTTCACTTCAACTCTTACTAATCATTTGTCCATACTTCAGAGTAAGGACATTTTTAATCCCACAGTTGTGAGACATGAGGACTTTTTTATCTCCACAAATTCCAGTGTCACAAAACTGAGCATCTGTGTTTTATAAAACCTGCATTCAATCCCCAATCCTTTTCCTCCCATTCCTTTTTTCTTCTTTTATACTTCCTGTTTCAAGCATAGCGGTTAGGCAAAAATCTTTTTAATGATCTGTACCAGGATTAAAACTATCAATAATTACAGTTTCTTTCTATGAGTACAAGAGCATTCAGACTCATAATGGGGAAAAGTGAAATGCACAATAATACAAGAGTGCTTGGATGAAAAATATATACAGGGTGATCGAAAAAAAAATTTACAACTTTTTTACTAAATATCTTGCGCAATTGTTGTTCTAGAAAGATGAAATTTGAAACAGATAAACTTCATTCAAAAGGAATTTGTATGACTAAAATGCATACAGAAGAAACTTATTTTCAGAACGGAAAAAGCGTAAAGAAATAAACACCCATAAATGCAAAAAGCCCCAATTTTAAAAAAAGACACTCTCGCAAGGAAAGTCGTGAGACGATTGATTTGATTTTTGTCTTCTTTTTCTCTATAACATTTGATTGTTCCAACCTTGTGACATTAAACAATATTTAACTTCTCTTAGGGAGTTAAAGAACTAACATTTTTGTTCTGGAATTTCTAAAGCAAATGCTCCACATGTCCTCCTTTGGACTCCAAACTTCTTTTAATGCGTCATTTGAAATGCTCAATGACGGCCATACACAGTTCACACGGAATGTTTCTCACTTCATCACGGATTGCTTGTTTCATAATTTCAATGTTTTCAAACTGGTTTTGAAATATCTCGTCCTTCAGAAAATATTGTTGAATGTCACAAGGTTGGAACAATTAAATGTTATAGAGAAAAAGAAGACAAAAATCAAATCAATCGTCCCACGACTTTCCTAGCAAGAGAGTCTTTTTTTAAATTGGCGCATTTTGCGTTTATGGACGTTTTTTTTTCTTATACTTTTTCCGTTCGGAAAATAAGTTTCTTCTGTATGCATTTTATGTAAAACAAATTCCTTTTGAATGAAGTTTATCAGTTCCAAATTTCATCTTTCTAGAACAACATTTGTGCAAGATTGTATATGTGTCAAGATGCGGTGGAATCAGGCATTTGACAATTTTTGGGCATGTGGTGTTATTAGTATCAGCTTAAAGCTTGTTCATTTGCCTTGCTTCGGATGAAAAAAATATCAATATATTTTTAACAGAAGTCGAGATATTTGTGATTGAAGGCGATAGAGGGGTTGCCCGGTTTTAGAAGTAAAATTCAGAAAATGGTCGTCAAAGTTCAATGACTTCCAAAGTTTGAGAGTCTTTGGTAACAAAAAATCTGAAATTTTAGTGCTTCTAATCAGTGTTTTTCAGTAAATATTCATAAAGAAATGTGTTTTTGAATGAACATAAATGTGTTATGCTGAAAAATAATAATTCAAGAAAAGTGTCCAAACTGGCAGAAAAAATGCCAATTTCTTTGATTTCACTATTTTGATGAGCGCCTGATTTCACTGTGAGGGCTCACATATTACAACAAACCTGAAATCTCTCTCCTTCTTATTTCAATTTTCATATTGATCATCTTCTTCTTTTCTGTCAGGATATCCAACTCAAGATTGAAGATTTTTTCTTGCACACTGTCCTTCCTTGCTAACAATTGTTTGACATCAGAACTTGTTTTCACTGACTCATCATCAGGAATCTAAAGAAGACAAGACAGGACAAAAAAGAAAGTGACAGTCCTTCTTAATTCAACCAATGCTAGTTGAAGCTTGAGAAAGAAAAATGCTTCTTTTATACAATTAAGCTTCCTAGAGACTGAGACATGTAACAGCCATACAATGTTTGAATAAGAGCCAGAGCTGTACGGAGAAACAAGGCAACTGTTTTCTTTGTCTGCAATTTCAAATTTGTGATTAACAAGTCCTTCCTTTCATTTATGGTCAGGAAAGTAATTAAACAGTACGATAACAAATCCTGAATACCCTACAAAAAATTGAAATGTCCATGGATACACTCTTTTGCCTTTGTTCTTTAAAATATGACAAAGCATAACCAATAATTTATGCTTAGTAACAACATTATTATAAGAGCAAACAACCCTCCCCCCCCCTAAAAAAATAAAATAAAATAACAACAACAAAACAACCATAAAACCAATTTTTCTCTTCTATCCTGTAGGTGGTTAAAAAATTCATAAAACTGAACAATGACAATGGAAATATTAAACAACTTGCGTCATCAACAAAGGCCTTACAAATTTTAAATTATTTTTAAAAAAGAGACCAGAGCCAGGATGAATTCAATGTCCTTCAAAACAGTTTAACAAATGACAAGAGAAGGTTTAAAAACAAGCATACCTGCATATGGATCCTGTCTTTTTCTTGAATAAGCTGTTTTCTCTTGTTTTGTAGTAACTGCACTTTAGCTGAATGTAATTCTTTATAAAGACTGGAATTTTAAAAAAAGAATTTGCATAAATTATCCCTGCCTTACACAAAGGTATGAACACAAATTTTGTAGCGAGTCAAATCTTGACCTACAGCTTAACAAAAATAGAAAGGTGTAAAAGAAAGGTAATCCGCAAAATTCACAGAGAACAACATGTCTATTCTATTTAAACAAAATTTAATTGTCACCACAGTAAACTGAGGATGAAAAGAACATTTTGTCAACAAGATGTTAAAATATATAATGCAAAAATTTACAGGAGAGAGAGAAATGTTTCATTCTTTTAATAAATTGTACATAAGCCTACATAATGTATTTTTCTTGCTTTTTTTTTTCAACCATTAGAGTTTGAATTTCAACAAAATATATCTTGAGCACATTCAACCTATACCACATATTTTGAAACTGCAATTTAAAAACAAATAAAAATGTGGGGCACAGCAGTCCCGACAATTTTGTTTTACATCGATCTAAGAGTGGACAACAACATGCATGGCTGCATTAAAGCCTTAACTTTAGTGCACGTCAAAGGTCCAATGTCAACTTCAGTTCTCTCCTTGTAGTGCTATCTCAGAAATAGACATTGGCTGCTGCAACTAGCTACACAATAAAACACATAGTCTGTTCCTTGTTACATCACCAAGTCATTCAAATTGTCTAAAGGCATATAATTTTATGTCTACTGTTGCTTTCCAATCCCTCAATGTTAACCACCAAGACTTGACTTTCTCTATAACTTTATCGCAGTAAGAGTGATTGGTACATTGCATTCGTCTCTCCCTGAATTAAATACACCACCAGTAGGGGAACCTGCTCAGCATGGTGACCAGCTCCAGACTCAACAGCTGGCACTATCTAACTTGGGAACTGCCCATTTTCTAGAGTAGTTAACTCTTATGTAATCCACCCATCACCCCTCCTCTACTGCGTATCCAAACTAGGTCAATGTCAAAGAGAATCTCAAAGTTTCCTTTAACGTGGAACTCAAAGCTTTCATCATGACACCCACATCCAATAAAACAGTATACAAAAGCGAAATAGTTTAAACCATAATGGCTCTGTAAAGATGTAGCATAATATCAGGAAGAGGAAGAATTGAAGAAGACAAAAACAAACAAACAACAACAACAAAAAAAACAATCAAATATCAATGCCACAAGAGAGCACATTCCTCCTCTTTGCTACACAAAGGACACAAAAGGATGGTAAAAGATATTTACAATATTTGCAATGGCCCAAGAATCTAAAACTGCAACAGTAATAGTTTTGGCAAACATCTGTAACTGTGTGAGCCTCAATCCATTGAATCAAGTCTAAGTTCAGGGATTGAGATAAGTGTAGATCTTTTTAGCAATTAGCATACCTACATCTTGACTATAAATGAAAACACAACCAATTCAAATTGACTTAGAGAAAGATTTTTAATCAAACATCATGAATTTATAAATACTTAAACTATCTAAAGGGGTTAACATTCATTAAACACTAAAATGGTAAACATACTTACTGAAGCTCACGACTAGCAGCAACCAAATCAAAAGCTTTCGGGCCGTAACGACCTTTGTCTATTTTGATCTGCTCAATGAGTTCTGTAAGATGTAAGAAATGAAAGTCAAATTATTGTCATAACACTTTGAGAAATAGAAATAAACTTTGACATTACAGTATCATTAAATAATATTGAAAACAAAATCTGCAAATCTTAGAGATCTGACAGACTCAAACATTCATCAGAAGAGTTTTCTTTTTTCTACAGGCAGTAAGCCTATAGCATAACAAATTGTAAACATTTCAGAACAATAGAAAAAGAGAGAGGAAAGAATTAAAAGAAAAGGGCTGGTTCTCTCAAAGGCATTCATCAATAAACTGCTGGTATCTGCTATTCTTATTACACACACATGACAAAAATTAACTTTTTCCCCACTCAATACTTCTTAATGAGTAAAATTCTAAGATAAAGCAGGCAGGAATGAAAGATTTCTGAATCCCATCAAAATTACTACAGATCTATTTGGGTCATAACTTGTCAGCAACTAACTGAATTATATATATTCAAGGGTATAAATAACTACTCTAATCTCATTGTGGACAATGATCTAAAATGCCTAAAAATGTAAACTAAATAAATAGGAGCAATTACACCCATTGAGCATATGCATGACAATTACCAGATGCAGAATAAAATATTGTATAAAAATAAAGATTAAACCTGTCTTTGATATTTAAAAAAACAAACATAAAAAACCCCCCAACAAACCCCAGTCAATGCAAAAAACTGAACTAAATTTCATGGTCATATTGTTCATTTTGTACTCACCGTTGAAGATTGAAACAATCACAGACTGATGCTCTACGTACAGTCCCTGCATAACTTCCTCTGCTTGAATTAGAAGACAAGCCCAGAATAGATGTTGCTCCTTACCCTCATTTTTGAGGCGATCTCCCAGATCCGGATTAGCCATCTGGTCTTTGTAGAACTGTATCTTTTTCCTTGATAAACATTGGCTATCCACATATGGCTAGACACCAAAGAGAAATATTATTTGTTTTGATACAAAAAAACAATTTTTTAAGGAAGCAAAAAAATAAAACTTAATTTCATGAGAGCTAAAAAAAGGGTATGCCATATTTACAGCAGAAACAGTGACAAGAGTCTCCCCCCCCCACCCCGACCTATCAACTCAAAATAAGAAAAGACTTTATTCTGCTGCAGTTCCACAGGTGATTTTAAGCTATGATAGTTCTACCAAAACAAAAAAAATATACATTCTTACTTTAAGGCAGTTATAAACTGATGACTGACTGGTCTCATATGTCTTCAAACTTTGTGAAACAACTAATATCCACAATTATCGCTAATGATAATCCAGCCAATTTATTAATTGTATATGGAAAAAAAACAACTTAAAAACAAGAGCAGGTATTCTTAGAGAACCACACTATAGCAAAATATAATAAATCGAAACTCAGGTTACCTGCAATTCATGATTATAGTAATCAGCTAATGCTGAGATCAATCTTATCACAGCTTCATCTTCCCTCCTGTATACATCCTCTAAGTCTTTCATCACCGTGCAGTTATCTCTTTCAAAGGCAATGTTCTTAAGCTCATCTTCCGCAAAGCCGATTTTCTGAAAAGTTGGAAGGAAACCAGTCTTGGGGTCTTAGGAGCAAAAACTCTGTTTTCAAATTCCAGGACAAAAATATAGGCAAACAGTGTGATCAAATAAATTGAAACAATAAATCTGATACCCTGAGTAATATAATAATGAATCCTCCCACTTTCCATTTTATAGAAGATGAACAAACACAATAGTCATAATTTCATAACACATTGAAGCAACCTTCTACCTCTCAAAAGTTAAAGCATTGACCCAAGCTAAATTGGACAAAGACTTGAGAGTCAAAAATATCCATAAATGTTTGCCTACTTGATGGTCAAAAATAGATTCCGACAAATATTTGAAATCATTAAAAGAATAAAGAAGCGAGACACTAAGGCTACTACCAAGTCACAAGGTCTGTACTAATGCTGACTTATCATTGATGGTTCTAAAACAAAAAATATTTTTTAAGGCCACAATAATAAAGGTGAACAGGTGGAAATGGTGAACAATCTTGGAAATAGTGACACATCACTGAGTTTATGTTCCGTTACAACAAGCACACACCCATGCCATAAGGTTAATGAACCTTTTACATATAAACAACTTCTAACAATATTTCAGTGGAGTTTCAGCAAGACCATACCTGTTCCAAGTCATGTTTACGGACATCTGACATTTTTTCATAATAAATGTCAACAGTGTGAGACGCCGCCTCGAACATCACCTGGAAGGAAGTTTTTAAAAGAAAAAATATCATTTCATTCTACCTCAAAAAGCTAAATGCAAAAACAGAAGGAAATAAAAAAGACACTTCATGTTCCATAAAGAATAATTCTTCAATCTAATAAATGTTAGAGAGGCTGAGAAAGATCTAAAACACAAAGGAAATGGGACATAAAAAGGATGTTTGGAGAATGGCATCATTAGGATAGACAGACTGGCAGACAGGACATAAGGGCAGTAACACCAGAGTATAGTGAATACTTTTTCTTCCTATGAAAGGTTGTTGCCTGAGACATGTGGTTGCTTTCAGAGCTGTATAACAATTTGTATATTGCACAAAAAGAATAGTTCATATTCATTCAGCTGCAGGTTTTTTTTCTGGAAAGTGTTGGTAGGGAATTTTGAATTTTGCCTGGGTGGTGACCGAAGCCTTCTCTTACTGATTATGGACCACCAAGGGATCTTTAACATGCACAACTTGCACATGAGACCTCCACGAATTTTCGTCCTTATCTGAAAAGGTTAGATATTAGATCTTACCTACCATAAGACCAGGGGTGTGGCTGAAAGACAGCAGTAAAAAGAGCCACGGAGTAACAGTAGAAATGCTGCAGAGGGGCAAATGAAGTGAGGGGGTGGGGGCAGAAAGTGAAGGTGAAAGCAGACAACAGAACATTGTCAGAGAGCAGGAAAGGAGGTGAAAGGAGAACATTTTAGAGAGAAACATTTTCTGTCGCTGTCAGGATTAAACCTGGGGAACGGCGAACATCCGTAACCTTTCGACCATGAGAGCCCCACTGCAGGCTGAAGAGTACTAATTTGCATACCAAAAAGAACTTTATTCTGTAACAGGTTTAATTTTGAGATGTTACATATCAGAAAATTGAAGGCCACCTAGTCCATAGTAATTTGTTTAACCGTGAATTCTTTACCCATGGTCCAACATAAGATAAAATAAGGCTTTAGATAAAGGTTTTCAGTAAATTCAAAACAAAAGCAGAACACATTACAACAGCCTTGCTGCTAACACACACATTACACAATAAGAAAGCTTATTCTGACTGAATGCAAACAAGAAATAAAACTACAAAGAAGTGGGTTAAGCAGAAGCTGTGTATCTAAACCGAAGAAAGAAATGGCAGTGCTACAAGTCAAAGGGGCAGACCCTGAAGTGAGAATTTTTAACACAAACATCTTGTCAGCATCGAGGGCGGAGCATAATGTTGACTAAGAACAGGTGTTGTGAAAGAATGAAAGCAGGTGGTCGTCATACACAGGGGTTGTTTTGTATTAAATTTTTTTCTGGTAGGAGCTTGAATGAAGGGGGTGTGGTCCAGGTATACAGGTGGTCTGTATTTACAGTCAAACCTGCTCCAACAATCACCTGTCCAAGACAATCTCACTCATACAAACGATCATTTTCCCACCTAGCAGCTCCTCCCTTGCCTTGTGTTTTTTCCCCTCTATTATATATAATGACACTATCCAAGAGCACCACCTATCTAAGATGATCACTTTTGTCCTCGACAATGGGAGGTCGGTTGTCTTAGACAGGTTTGAATTTTTTAAGATTACAAAGGTCAAATGAAAGTTGTGAACTCTACGCTCTGTCCTAAAAAAAGTTACAACAGCCTGTGTTACTGTTGTTGGCGCTCTCTGTAGCATACACTTTATCTCTTTGATAACTGAAAATAAACACCACGAAATGTTGCAAAAATTTAGTAATTACTTACTTCATGCAAAATTGTGGTGCCAACAGTTTGAGCTACTTTCACAAAGTAATTTTCCAAATCCTTGCACAACGGCTCCATGTTGTGTGGAATGTGCACCCCAACCAGGACAGCTTTCAAACCTCTTGGCTCTTTTGGAAGCTTAGGCAGTCTTGGCACTTTTGCATTGATTCCACAAAGTGTATTGTGAATGCTGAACAAAGCAGGTATACTGAAAGAATCTGTGTTGGAAGGGTCTGTTTCATCACTGGCAACACGACTGCGGCCACGGCTGGTCACAGCAAACATCTTTTCCACATTGTTCCACTGCACCATAAAGGTGGGAACAGTCTCAGTGGGGGGCACAGAGAAAGCCTTATCTTTGACCCACACCCAGTCATCATAAGAAGTTGCCCGTTGAAAATTCATTATGGCCTCTCAAATCCCTGAAAGGAAAAAAAAATCATTGCTAAGCGACAGGGATAAAAGACAAACACACAATAAAGTCTCAAGATTTTAGAATTGTGGTACTCCTTGTGCCATCAAAGAGGGACATCTCGAACCTTTCAGGCAAGGCTCATGGGGTTTGAGCCTGCCATTTTACAAGTAAGTGGTACAATTCGCGTTTAGGTGGACCTAATTAAAACAAATATTCACCCTCTTCCTATAATAAATCATTGACCGTTATAAGTTGTGTGGCTTGATGTTTTGAACGAATAGTAAGGTAGTATACCTTCTTTTCTAAGCCTCCAATCAAAACTTTTATTATTTTATATTTGTTTTAACTTATGTAGGGTTTCTTCATGAGCTCAAGGACATAATATAACTAGATGACATGGCTGGCACAACCCCCCCCCCCCCCCCCAAATCGTGATTTTTTTTTTGTTTACTGTACTGCAAGCGACCTTTAATGATAAGAATAAAAAAATAAATCCTATCTTCTCCTCTTCAATAGTACAGCAAAGTGACATCCATCCCACCCAACCAGCTAGCTTCTTTCATATAAATTATTTGTACACTAGCTTTTCTTCGAGGAATACCAAGTTTCTCTTTCAATGGCACTAGAAGTGAAAAGAAAGAAGAGGAATACTCAGGCTATCCCAGAGCAGGACACTAGCTTTTGGGATGTACAGGGCATCTGAAAAAAAGGACCCATATAATAAGGGGCAATAACTCAGCCATTTTTGGACCAAGTTCAACAAAATTTCAAACAAATAACATTCAACCAAAAGGACATCACATTTGTCAACATGAACAGTTACATAAGAAAAAAAATCAATCTCTGTACTCCAGAAACATAAAATTTTAACAATTTCAACCAAAACTAAGTAAAACACAAAACTTTACTTCAAAAAGCGTTCAGCCTGTTCTGGTTTCAGGACGAGGACGGTAAGCCGACGACCGTCATATCAGACGAATATCTCTCTGTGCTGAGAAAAGTTTGGGGAGGAGAAAGTGTTACACTGTTGAGGAAGCCTGGTTTAAGCAGGGTGGGGCTACATCTCACACACCAAGAGTGGCCATTGCATGGTTGTAAGAAGTCTCGGGAACACCTTATATAAGCCAAAAGCTTACAAATGAATGTTCACCTGATTTCCCTCCAACTTGAACCTTGTCAACTGTTTCCTTTCGTTTTTTGTTTTTTTAAAGAGTCTTTGGAAACAAACTACAAACATTTGAAAAGTTGACATTGAATGTTGAACAGGAGGTTTAAAGAATTGACCTAGAAACATGCCACAAGGTTATTCAAAATTTCCAGTTGCGTATTTGAGTTTGTCTCGAGAGAAATGGTCAACCTCATGCATACAATTTAGATAACCATTCCCTGAGTTTATTTGAAAATGTCTCTTTTACATAAATTTGTTCTCACTTCAATGCACAATATGGTATGTTTTTAAGAAGTTGCAAAGTCTTGCGTTTCACTCAATTTGGGTTAAAATTTTATCAGTTTTATTTTTTTTTTCTAGCATGAATGTTCGTTATTTTCAAATTTAGAAATTCAACATCCTCATGGTTGAATTTTATTGGTGCCAAGTTTGATTGAAATTGGGCCAAAGATAATAACCAAGTTATTTCCCTTAAAATTTTAACTTAAACTGGGTCCTCTTTTTTTTAGACACCCAGTATTTTATATATATATCTCTCTCTCTCTCTCTCTCTCTCTTTTCTCTCTCTCTCCAGTCTCACCGTTGGGACATATATATTATAATATATATGTCCCAACGGTGAGACTGGAGAGAGAGAGAGAGAGAGAGAGAGAGAAAGAGAGAGAGAGACAGAGAGAGAGAGAGAGAGAGAGAGAGAGAGAGAGAGAGAGACAGACAGACAGACAGACAGACAGACAGACAGACAGAGACAGAGAGAGAGACACATAAAGAGAACCGAAATGTTTTTCTATTTAGAGAGAATGAATGATTTTAATGAATATTTCTAGCTATTTAAGTTTCAGTTCATTATGAGCGTTTGTGAATTATTATTGCGTTCTCTAATTTTTTTTTGTGAACACATTGCCAGGCTCACTGTATGACTGTGTAAAATGGTCACCTGTCCAACACGGTCGCAGTCACAATATCTGTCTAAAACAGCCACACAAATCTCTCATGGCTTGACGTTTTTGTCATAAATTATGTATTGGTCCCTGACGCTGTGGACAAGCCGCCATAATCCAATCATCTGTTGTTATTGCTAGTTAGACCCTCCAACCGATCATGTTTCGAAGGCCCCTCCCACTGTTGAGCAATAGGTAACAATAAATTTTCAGCTGCTGGTGAGGGAAACATGTGGTCTGTCATAACCTAAGACCCACCCACAACTCATACACAAATCGTAAGAGAGATGAGGGGTCATTGTTAACCCGTAACAAAGTGACAATGGAAGTCAACATGAATCTGCGCTAGAAGCGTAGTTTGTTCTCTGAGTGGTGGCGAATAATGTGTTTGTTTTACCATGGCAGTCAGTCTTCCTCTTCAGACACATTTAGTTTTGTTTCACCCTTGCACAAAATCAGCAATACAAAAGAAAGCTTACAAAAAACTTACAAAAACAACAACCCCCTCCCCCCCCTCCTCTTTCAAAAGAAAACACCTATTTTAATTAGCTTTACACGGCAGTCCTAAGCCGGCAACAACCTCTGGTTGGAACCTCAGAAGAGAATACTTAGTTTTCTTCATTTTGATCAGTCCAGCCTAAGAGATGGCCACCTGTCTTATACGGCCTCTTTTCTCCTAGCCATCTTACACAGGTTCGACTGTACTTCCCATTTCTTTGTCAAAGAAGTTCCAGTTTAGTTGAAAGTCTACTGCTCTATGGTGATCTATCGAAAGTAAGTCCCACCCGATCAACCATGGTTTAATTATATATATATATGATCTAGCAGAGCATAAGTCCCACCTGATTTGTCACGGTAAAGATACTACCGGGGCCATAAAGAATAAAAACCAAAGACGGTGCCATTTACAATTAAGGCATGTGGGTGGATTGCTTCATGTTATAGAGTCATTTAGATCAAAGAATTTCGTATTGGTAAAGATTTTGAAGTAAGTAGTGACAGCCAGTGACCAGAAGGGGCTATTTTCAAGAAATTTGATGAAAGCACTTAGTTTTCAATACACATAGAGGCGTAGGCCAGGCTGTCTCCTGCCAGAGGGTGATTCATAATATAAGCTTATTTAATTGAAAACGACATCCTATCATAAAAATCATCTGAACAATAAAGAATTATATCTTATATCATCCTATTCTGGCACAACACGACATTTCTATTAATGACCTCGAAAACAAACACGTTAGATGTGAAGACAATCGAATTTAGTTGAATTCCGTCAAATTTGTGCCAAAATAGTAGCTTTTGCCCCTCAACTTAAATGGAGAAAAATCTGGCCGGCCCCAACTCAACAAAATGATAACTAAAAGTGCGCACTCTGAATTAAAAATGCACATACTGAATTTTACGGTGGCTCATGGGAAATTTTTACAGGGAATCAGACTTATTCTGCTCACCTCTCTAGCTTCAACAGCACAAGGTCTGCTTCGACTATCAAGGCACCCCGGAAATAGCAGGTCACAAGAGAGTGACAAACATACAAAAGAAGTACAGGAAAATGACAATACTAAGGATTAAGAAAGAAAAAGCAGCGGTTCCCTGTTGTAAATCAGGCACAGTTATGAGCGTGACATGAATCAGCCCATTTACAATTCTACTGTGCTTGAACGAGAAATGTCCCTCTTTGGGAATGGCCTAAAGGCACTACAGTCAGTGGCACTGCCCCGGGGGGTGGACTTCCGTAACAAGTGACCATTTCAACAAACACGAAGAAGAGACCCAACCCTAACTCAACCCATAACCCAACCCCTATCCCTACCCCTAAAAATGCGCATACCACCGTAATTTTGTCATGACTAGATCTTGGTCGGATGTAATCTCTAATTCCTAATAGCATCAAGTGATTATTGGGAGTCAACTCTATAATGCCAAATGATTACGAAGTTGACTCCTACTAATGCCAAATGATTTTTATAGGGAGTCAACTTCCAATAATCACTTTGATATATATATTACACCTTAGTATTACTATTAATAATATTACAGGTCTATTAGACAGTAATTACAGATTACAAGATCTCAGCAAATAATAAACTAATGGTATCATGTAAAATTGGAAGACTGTTAAGATAGTGCAATGACTTTGAACAACTAGTAGGCTGTCAGTGTCAGTAGGCTCAGTAGTACTTTTTACTAGAGACGGGCGGGAAGCGCTTTTTCCTTCCCGAGCGAGAAGACCGGGAAACTGACCTATTTCTCGCCGAGACCGGTCCCGGGAAAGGGAAATACTTTCCGTCTCATGTCTCGAGAAATACTTCTCGTCTCGTGACCAATTTCTCTTCTCGCCCCGCAGTTCGAGCCACTCGTTCAGCGAGAAGGCCGGCCGTGGCCGAGATTTCTCTTCTCGCCCCACAGAACAGGCTCGTTTAGCGAGAAGACCGTCGTGGCGGGGATCTAAACTTAGAAACTAGGCTTGCCCTGTTGCGCAGGCGCAGACGGTGAAGGAAGGTAGGGAGACCTAGGCCTTGGCCCTGATCAACTCCCCACTCGCCTCGTCTCGCCAACCTCTCCCCTCCCTTTCAGTTTCACACACAGGACGGCACGGTGATGGGTGGCACTGTCTGCGTTGTCATTTCTCGCCTCTCACTCTCTTACTCTCGTTACTGTTACTCGGTACCGAGCAGTAGTTTAATGCCCGAGAAGCGACAGGAAGGCCGTTACCCGCGAGAAACGAGTACTCGGCTCGTCTCGTGCCCGCCCCTACTTTTTACTAGGTAGACTAGAAAAAAATTCGAAGTGACGATTTCTCCGAACGCTCGGGAAATAAAACTTGACCTCTATTTCACCGAACGGTTTCCATTTTCGAGATTTTCTGGTTAATATGCGAGAGTTCTGCGTCATCTTTCATTCTGCCATTCTGCGAGGAACGGGAAGAAGATTTCAAGAACAAGAGATTTTCAGATGTCTGAATATTCAGATACTTCAATTCTGGTTGTGGCAACGTTCCCCGACTATATTTCATTTGAAAATGCCTTCAAAAGGTACTGCGAGAAAACAAGAGACTTTGGCAGTAGAAACTTAATCTATTTTGCATTAAGTCATAAATAAAGCAAAAAAACGCCACCACTTACTACGCCCTCCACGACTCCCCTTTCACACCTTACACACACACACACACACTCTCTCTCTCTCTCACACACACACACACAGGCCACTCCATTTGCAAATTTTCAAAAAATTTCGAGAACGGAAACCGTTCAAAGAAATAGATCTAGAGTCTAGACTAGATATTAGATCTTCGAGCATCCTCTACCAAAACTGGCCCCAACCATAACACTATTAATATCTAGATCTAGATCTAGGCTAGATATCTAACCTTTATTCCCACCCCTCCAACTCTAGATCTAGTTCACTCCATGGACCATATGGCCTTGCCTGAAGGGACAACAAAAACCCCAAAACCCACACTCACGGAGTTCCTTGGCTATTGCTATAGAGATAATGTGCTGCTAGGCTAGAGGTAGAGATATTCCGGACCAGCTGACTGACTTTGCCTATGTCTCAACCTTAGGAATTCATAATTTTCCCGTTTTTAATATCTCTCAATGGAGAATCTCGGACCGGTAGATCTATTCATTAAAATTTTGTCAGGGGGGAGACCCCCCCTCCCCGCTCCCCCCCTCCACCCCAACCACCAGCCCCACTTTCTCGCGCAATAATGTACGAGTGGTCCGGTGTATTCTTCAATCTTCCCCGAATTCCCGAGATATTTACACTTTTTTACTGATTTTTTACTTACTTGCCTTTTGTCTTGTGAGTGGTGAAATACTAGATTAGATCTACTGGTTTGTCTGAAATTCCTCCTTGCACAGCCAAATATCTCGTAAAAGAAAATACAGCTACATTCTGATTCAGAAATTCAAAACGCTAGCTCTGTAGTTGAAGGCGTGTACCCTACACAGGCTTCGCATGGGGAGTCCAGCTGTACACACAAGCAACAACAAAGGATTATCATCGTCAGCTGACAGTCCGAAGAGAAGTGGGGGTGGTCCTTCTTGAACAGATAAGCCTTATAATATCAGTTCAAGAAAACAAAACACAAACAAAACATCTACACTACACTGTGGCGTCATTGTGTACAATTTCTGGTAGGAGACTTCTTGAATTAGGAAAACCAAATGAAGGGTAATTCTCCAGTAAGACGTAGTGACATGTTGCACACTTTCAGAGGGGAAGGCTGAAAGCAATCTATTTTTGGTGTGTTTACCAACAAATCTGTACAATCAACCTAACCAACGCTTAATATGAAGGATAAAATCAAAAGAACAGGAGAGTGAGACTAAAATTTGCACAGACGAAAGAATATTTCACGATTAAGTAACTGTGTAATTTTATAATTTCACTCTTTCTGATCGTCTCAACTGAAACACACAAATTCTCTGAAACTACATGTATAGTGAAGTGTTTAGTCTTATAAAAGTTTGCATGGATGCAAGGATGTAAAAGATATGCACGCATAGAGGATGGGCCCTTTGCAGTGGCTGTAGGATACTGAGCAATGATTTTATTATGTGGTCAATGATTTTGACACCTGAAAGGATGCACCAACTTTTAGAAATTCGAGCATGCAGGTGATGGGTAGTAGCCTGAGAAAAACGAGAGAGAGAGAGAGAGAGAGAGAGAGAGAGAGAGAGAGAGAGAGAGAGAGAGAGAGACAGAGAGAGAGGAGTATTTGCGTG